TTCCACCTTGAAAGACATACTTTAGAGTCTTGGGCTTCCAGAGAAATAAATGCTTCCTTACTTTAGTAGCTGGTCTGCTGCTGATAATTATTTTGATGTTAAAATAGGTTTGAACCTTTGCCCTTAATTTGCCCTTAATCCTGCCTTCATTTTATCTTGACTCCTCCTAAATCTCTACAGAGTGACCATCGTCTTGACTTCCTTGACTCTACTGTGTTCTAGCTTTATTAGTGGAAGTAAATCTCTTCTGCTCTTCTTCCTTTGTGGGCTTTCTCCTCTAAGAAGGGCCTGATGTATCTAGCAATCACAACTGGAACTAAAAGTGCAAGTCATTGTGCACACTCTCAGCCCTTGCTCCAGGATCCTTAGCCACAACCAGAGAAAATACTGCACTGGGAGGTGCTTCCTAGAATAGGAAGAGCACAATTCTGTAAAGCTTGGGGTCACTCTTGGCCTTTGGATGCTGAGATGAACCATAAAAAGGTGATGGGGCCAGTACAGGAATTCCATTCAGTTTACATTTACTTGTGATTAAATTTAATTATATTTCAACCCAGGCTTAACTTTTATAATTATCCTGTTCGGAAATATTTAAAAAATTAAAATTCAGTCGCACCTTTTGGAAATCTCTGAGAGTCACATCAAAAGCTTTGGATGCTGTGTATGATCTAGGGAGAAGCTAGTGATAAATATGTGCTTTAAGATCTTTCGATTGGGAGATGATGAGTGTATTCATGGAGGTAAATGCATACGGACAGATATGTATATACACACCCAAGCAACAAGAAGGTGTGTGTAAAAGTTTGGCCTTACCTTATATAGTGTGCATTTCTATTACGGATCCTTGGGTTTATACAGATCTGAATTTCAAGTCAGAATGTTTCATATAGTTGCAAAAGAAGGGCTGTTACTGACTTCAGCACCCTTCACAATATTATATCATCTTTGTTTTGTTGAGAATAAGTCAAAAGAGGTGGGAGAAAAGGCATCCAAGAAAGAGTACTTCAAAGAACAGTTCATTTGGAAGGTCTCTTCCAACTTTGTTATACTGTTATTCTGAGTACAGAGGAGTGGGTACTGGAAATATATTTATGTGGCAACATCACCTTGCAAAGTCCTAGAAGGGTGGACTTGACCCAGAGCAATAGCTTATTGCTGGGGGAGATGTGTGCTGCAATAAAGTATTGTGTACAGGTTTGCTATGCTATGTTGTGTGAATCAGAATAGAGCTGGAAGGAACCTTGGAGGTCTTCTAGTCCAACCCCCTGCTCAAGCAGAAGCCCCTATACCAGGGGTGTCAAACTGCAGGCCCATGGGCCGGTTGCATCATGCAGAGGCCGCACCCACCCCAGCTCTGGCAATGCAAAAGTCGTGATACAACACAACACGTCATGTGACGTGGCGCGTTTGACACCTGTGCCCTATACCATTTCAGACAGTCCAGTCTCTTCTTAAAAATATCCAGTGATGAAGCACCCACAACTTCTGAAGGCAAGCTGTTCCACTGGTTAATTGTCGTCATGATTAGGAAGTTTCTCCTTAATTCCAAGCTGCTTCTCTCCTTGATTAGTATCTATCCATTGTTTCTTGTCCTACCCTCTGGTGCTTTGGAAAATAAATTGACCCCTTCCTCTTTGTGGCATCCTCTCAAATACTGGAATACTGCTATCATGTCATCCCTATTTCTTCTTTTCTCTAGACTAGCCAAATCCAAATCCTGCAACCGTTCTTCATATATTTTAGTCACCAGGCCTTAAATCTTTGTTGCTCTTCTCTGCACTTTTTCCAAAGTCTCAACACCTTTTTTGTAATGTGGTGACCAAAACTGGATGCAATAGTCAAAGTGTGGTATTACTAAGGCTTTATAAAGCAGTACTAATATAGGTAATCCCCGAGTTATGAATGTTCCCTAAGCGAAATTACGTGATTAGCGCTTCCTAGTATTTACGAACAAGTCTGGAAATTACAAATGTTGCAGCACCACAGCAGTCATTCACCCTTGTGAAGATCTAGAGAGCCTTTGTTTCTTGGCCTATTTTGCTGCTTCAGGCCTTCGGTGCGTTCACAGAGAATGGAGGCCTAAAGTACCGCAAGATCATGCAAGATCAGTAGCGCAAGATCTCACACTACTGATCTTGTGTGATCTCATAGTACTTTAGGCCTCTGTTCTCTGCAAACGGAGGCCTGGACGAGATCTGCGGCAAAAGGCTCTGCAGATGGAGGGACGGCCTGAAACAGCTAAGCCTGCCTTCCATTTGCAAAGCCTTTTGCCATCTTTGCAAAAAGCCTTTGCCGATGAAAACGGAGCCCCAGAATGACGCACGTGTCGCTCCTGGCCTCCGTTTTTGTCGGCAAAGGCCTTTCCTCAAGCACATTTTGTGCGGAGACTGGAAGACTGAAGTCAAGTGATATCACGCCCCCCCTCCCGGAGGAGCTTCCAGTCTCAGCGCCCAAAGTGTTTGCAAGCTGGCCAGATGCTTTGAGGCAGCAATTTCACTGACCCAAAGACTCCCATCAGCTTGCAAACACTTCGCGCTGAGAGTTCTGGGCTGATATTGTGCGGCAGAGTGGCTGGAGAGGAGACAGCTTGCTAAATCTTCACAAGGTAAGTGACCTGGCATGGCAGAATGGGGGAAGCAATTGTGGGGAGAATGAGGTATCTCAGTGGGTCAGGGGAGAACTTGGATGGTCTGAAGCAGGTGGCCTGTTCCATCACTTGGCCCCCTTTGGCCTTCCCCAACTTGGAATACCTCATGTGCACTTAACGAACTGCGCATTTGATTAGCGAATGCGTAGGGTGAAAGGGGTGATTATGTTCAAGGTATGCCATTCACTCTTACGAATCCTCGAGTTACGAATGGAACTCGAGGACTACCTGTACTTCACATGATTTTGATTCTGTTTATACAACCAAGGATTGCATTTGTGTCTAGTCTTTGGAAAACAGCCCTTACGAGTAGAAGTTATGTTTGATGGTGCAGTGCTGTTTTTGTCATTTTACCTGATCCTACCTGCATACTGAATTGCAGAATTCAGAAAAAAACCCAAGGCTAATTATGCTTTGGCTCATAATGCAGTGCATATTGATACATTTTGGGAGGTCTCATCTGCTATTTGGTCTCAAAAGTCAGTAACATATTTCTAGGCTATACAGCTAGTCCTCGACTTACAATCACAATTGAGCCCAAAATTTCTGTTTTTAAATGAGACCTTTGTTAAGCCGGTTTTGCCCCATTTTGTGACCTTTCTTGCCACAGTTGTTAAGTGAGTCATTGGTAGTTGTTAAGTTAGTAACACAGTTGTTAAATGAATCAGGCTTCCCCATTGATTTTGCTTGTCAAAAGTTTGCAAAAAGTGATCACGTGACCCCAGGGACACCGTCATAAATATGAGTTATCAAGCTGATCTGAATTTTGATCACGTGACCATAGAGATGCTGCAATGGTCATAAGAGTCAAAAATGATCATAAGTCATTTTTTTTCAGTGCCGTTGTAACTTCAAACAATTGCTAAACAAACTGTTGTAAGTTGAGGACTACCTGTATTGCTTATGCATGAAGATTAATTTATTCACTACAGCTCAGATCTCATAGTCTGACTTACATTCCAACATCTAAACCTTGTATTTCCTCTTGTGTTCTGTTTAGTTTCCATATGCAGCCCCTCCTCCCCAGGAGCCAGTGAAAACTTTGAGGAGCCTGATCAACATCCGCAAAGACACACTGCGTTTAGTCAAGTAAGTCGGTGATTTCAGAACAGGGATTTGTTCTGCACTTTGAACCTTTAACTCAATCAAAGCAGGAAAAAATACCCCAACAAAGAAGACTGCCTAGCATTAAAATAACTTAGTGAATGGGACTTCCTGTGGCTTAAGGCTTTTTGAAGGGAACTTGTTTGCTTGAGTGGGCTTGCCTAGGAGCTGTAGAAGAGAATACAAAGTTAGACCAGACAGGGGTGTGATGTGGTAACTACAGATTTGCTACTTTCCAGTCCAGCCTTTCTCAACCTTGTTTTTTTCCAGATGTAAATCCCATAATTCCAAGCCACCTTGGTTGTGTTAGCTGGGAATTCAAAGAATTATCATCTCGGCACTTCTCAAAGGCCCAAGTTGGGAAAGCTAATCCAGGTCAAGATTGGCTTTGCAAGGATTCTATCTTCCCAACTCGGCTTTCTATAGCCTCTGTGGGTAAAATCACAAGGAAATGACCTGAGACCTTCTACGGGAAAAGCAGAACATAAATTGGCAAAAATTTCTTGGCTTAATTAACTGGAAACTTTGATATATGTATAAATGTAAATACATTGCTGGACCAAATTCCCTTGTCTAGTATAATAGCATGGATGGTGTATAGTATATAGCAGGGGTAGGCAACCTTGGCTCTTTTATGACTCGTGGACTTCAACTCCCAGAATTCCTGAGCCAGCATGGCTCAGCTTGGAAACCTCTCCCTTTCCCCTCAGCATGGCTGGCTCAGGAATTCTGGGAGTTGAAGTCCACGAGTCATAAAAGGGCCAAGGTTGCCTACCCCTGGTATATGGCATGCTGTTTTAGCTGTTTCTCTGGAACAGTGCTGCTCCTCCTCTATTTAGATGACTTGGGTCTATTTTTATTTTCCAAATTTGGGTTAAGACAAAAACCATAAAATCATAGGGCTGGAAGGGACCTTGGAGGTCTTCTAGTCCAATCCCCTGCCCAAGGCACGAGACTTTATATCATTCTGGACAAATAGTTGTCCAATCATTTTTGAAAACCTCCAGTGATGGAGCATCTATAACTCTGTGAGACAACCTGTTTCACTGGTCAATTGTTCTCATTGTCCAGAGGGAGTTCCAGGTTGGATCTCCCTCTGATTAGCTTCCACCCATTGCTCCTTGTCCTGTCCTCGGGTGTTTTGGAGAATAAATCAATTCCCTCTTCCCTGTTACAACCCTTCAACTAAATGACTATCATGTCACCTCGAGGCCTTCTCTTTGTTAGGCTAAGCATACCTAATTCCTTTACATGTTCGTTGTATGATTTAAACCTCAGACCCTCTTGTTATCTTTGTTGCTCTTTTCTGCACTCTTTCTTTCTTTTTTTGTATTGTGGTGACCAGAACTGGACGAAGTATTCCAAGTGTGCCCTTATTAGTGCAATATAGAGCAGTATTGTCACTTTTTGTCATCTTGATGCTAACCCTCTGTTGATGAAGTCTAGGATTGCATTGGCTTTTTTGCCAGCTGCATCACATTGCTGGCTGATACTTAAGTGGTGGTTCTCTAGGACACGTAGATCCCTCTCACAGTTACTACCGTTGAGCCAAGTATTGCCTATTTTGTACTTGTGCATTTGGTTTTTCCTGCCTAAGTGCCAGATCTTACTTTTCTCACCACTGAGTAGCATTTTGTTGGATAGGACCCAATGCTCAAATCTGTCAAGGTCCTTCTGAATCTTGAGTCATCTTCCAAAGTGTTAGTAATTCCCCCCAGCTTGGTGCCATCTGCAAATTTGATGAACACCCCTTCAATCCCTTCATTTTGGTCATTTATGAAAATGTTGAAGAGCACTGAGCCGATGGCAGAACCTTGAGCTACCCCACTGCATGCTTCCTTCCTTGAGATGTAGTTCCATCGAGGACTATACATTGAGTGCAGTTGGTGAGCCAACTGCAAATCCATCTGCTGGTGGTACTGTCTATGCCACATTGTTCTATCTAAGAAGAACACACTATAGTCGACTTTATCATATGTCTTACTGAAGCCTAAGTATACTATATCCACAGCATTTCCTTGGTCCACTAATTTAGTCACTTTATCAAAGAAGGCAATAACGTTTGTTTGACATGATCTGCTTTTAATAAACCCATGCTGGCTTCTAGTAATCACCTTATTTATTTCTAGTTCATTCTTGTCCTGTTCATCCACTGCTTGATTATCTTTTCCAGGATTTTCCCAGGTGTTGGTGTCAAGCTGATTGGTCTATAGTTTCCTAGATCCACTTTTCCCCTCTTTTGCAATATTGGGACCACATCTTTTCCAGTCCTCTGGCAGTTTTCCAGGAGTCTGAATTTATTCAGTTGTCTATGTCTGCATTATGGTGAATTCTAGTATGAAATGGTCACTCTCCCCCAAAGTTCCTACAACTCTACAACTTCATCCCTATTAATAAGAATTAATTCTAATATAGCTGACCCTCTAATTCCCTCCTCCACCTTTTGGATGACAAAGTTTTCATCTAGCCATCTTAGGAACCTCTTTGATCTCCCATTTGCTGCTGCAGAGCTTGTTTCCCAGTTAATATCAAGATAGTTAAAGTCCCCCATCACTACAGTGGTGTGTTCCTTGCACCTCTCAGCCATACTTAGCCAACTGTAGTATATACCTATAGCAATGTCATTTTTTTTCCTCCAATATTTCCTCCAATACTTTCAAGAATTCTTTCATCCTTGGTATTGTGTATTACTCTACAAATACAGTAATTCTTTACTTGCAATGCAACAACAACATATTTGCAGCTTTGAGATGCAGTGACATCAATTACGCAAAACACAAATATATCAGAAGAGGCAAGCTTCCCTCTGACACATATTTATGTGAACCAGTTCTTGTCCCCTTCTGATTGTATTTGTGATTGAAATGTTGACGCTTCCTAGCTCTCATCAGACATGAAAATCAATGACCAGAAATCCCCATCTTTATGGATTCCTTTAATTGAGAGGTCTTGCTATTCAATCTCATAGGCCAGCTGCTAATTGACAGTGTCATGTGCTTTAGGACTCTTGAAAGCTGGGTGGTATTTTGTTTTTGAACTTGACTTCAAAAGATAAAGTGAGAATTAGCTCCGAACAATGATTATGTACAGATGTTGCCTGTTGGAAACAGTCCACCCGCTCTTGTGCAGCAGGGCGTATCCGTGTGCAGCTCCTCAAGATTAACACGGAGATTAAGTGTGAACAATTCTGGGGAAGAATTTCTGCAAATGTTGTGTAAGATGATTTGATCAGTTTCTTGTCTCTTTTTGGCCTTTATCTTCCCCGTCTGGCTTTCAGAATAACTACAGGTGACAATAGGATTTAAATAAAGTTAAATTCATTTTTGTTGGTAGGCTGGGATAAGAGGGTAATCGGTGCTAACAGTTTAGATCTGCGTGGAGGAGGGGAGAACTTCCTTAGTGGCCAATGACTCTTTCTTCAGTCCTGAGAACTGAATTGTTGGATTCTGGATGGCACAACAGCAATTATGAACAGGTCTCAGTATATTTTTTACCAAGTTAATAAGCCTTGAATTTTATTGCTAACTGCTCTCTGCCACCTTTCCCCCCCCCCCCCCGATCTAGAACTTGCATATGGTTCTACAAGCAAGCGTGTTTAGAAATTAAGTGTGGCTTAAAACAGGCATCCTTGCAAGGGAAGCCATTTATAATGTTTCTCTGTAAATGCACTGCCGTGTATTCCTTTGGGTTTGCTCTGTTTTTGTAAAGGTAACAAGTCTGCGTTTGTCTCCAGAGAATCCAAACAATAGGTAAAGATGTAAAACATGCAAGCAAGGCCTTAGTTGGTACTTGTTGTTTTCATCCTGCAATTCAGCAATGTCAGTTTTCATTAAATCAAGGTGGATAATCTTCAATTGTCACTTTCTCGGCAACGACCTGGAAGAATTTTATTATGCTAATGGACTAGCTTTCTGGTGTCATATTCTTATCCGTTATCTCTTCTGTTCTCATACTCAGAGTCAGTGATTCTGGACAAAAGCTCTGCTCTCCCTGTAATAACCTGGGACTTGAATGCTTTTGCAGAATTGGTTGAGCCCTTACAGCTCTTATTCTGTTCCCTTATAATCATTGGTGGCAATATGAAAAGTCTGGCTGAAGGTAGTTCAGTCTTTATGGAAAATGACTAATGTGTTGATGTTCCTCACTCCCACCTACCCTAATCATAGTAGAGCCCAGCATGGGAGGAGATCATATATTGTTGTCCTAAAGCAGGGCTTTTCAACCAGTGGTACGGGTACCACCTGTAGTACATTAGCACCTGGCAGGTGGTACGCGACCATCCTAGAAAAGTGGGAGCGGGGGAGGGGAACGAGCTGAGCCGGTGGCAGCACCGCACAAGCCTGAGCGAGAGATGGCTGGAGCTGCAGGGCTGTCAGGGCTCAGCGGAAGCGCCAGGATCAGTGCTGCTTTCCAGCTGATTGGTGCTTTTTGGGGGCTGTCAGGGCTCAGTGGAAGTGCCAGGATCAGTGCCAGGCTCCAGCTGGAGCTCGGTGCTGATCCTGGTGCTTCCACTGAGCCCAGAAGAAGCACCAATCAGCTGAAAAGCAGCACTGATCCTGGCGCTTCTGCTGAGCCCAGAAGAAGCGCCGATCAGCTGGAATGTTGCAGCATCTCCAGGGTCTTGTGATTTACATTCAGATGCTTGGCAACTGATTCATATTTATGATGGTCACAGTGTCCCAGGGTCATATGAAGTGACCAAAACCTGCTGCAACCACCCAGCAGACGGGGGGAATAAAAACCAAACACCCCCCCACCCCACCCCCGCTGCCAATCCTCAACAGAAATGCTCACAACAATGAAAACCTCAGACAGGAGGAAGAGCGCCGCCAGGCAGGCAGGCAGGTGTCTTGCTTGGCGGTGGCTTTTTCAGTTCCACTGTAACTTTGAACAGTCACTAAGCGAACTGTTGTAAGTTGAGGACTACCTGTACTTTATCACCTTTTTCCTTTTTACAAGCCCACCAAGCTCTTTTCAGTGTTTATTAGGAAGCTTCTTAGGTCTATTGGAGATGCTGAACCTTGAACTCCCTGTACTTTCTGCATACAAAATAATATGCTCTGCTGCTGATTTATGAACACACTGTCGGAGACAGCCTCTTTACCTATCACTAGACATTTCTTCTGTAATAAAAAAAATGGAGAAATTCTGTTATATTTATTGGGGGAAATCCCTACAAAAGCTTCGGGTACAGAAACTCTTGGCGTAGTCACCCAAAACCTGTGCCAATCCTGGATTTAAGAACCCGTTATTCTGTCCCAGTGAAGATAGTGAAATAGTACAAGAAAAGGCAATACTTTTTCTTATGGTTATGGTCTAGAACAGAGGTCCCCAACCTTTTGGGCACCAGGGACCAGTTCTGTGGAGAGAGGTTTTTCCGTGGACCGGAGAATGCGTGGGTTTGTGTGCTGCCTGCACACTGCGGATGGTGCTTTGCTTCTTTGTGTGGACTGGTTGCTGGCATGTTGCGGCCCGGTACTGGTCCATGGACTGGGGGTTGGGGACCCCTAGTTTAGAGCCAGGGTTAAGACAGTTTCACGACATGGAACCTGTAGCTCTAGTTAGGGAAAATTGGCTAGATTTGAATGAACTTCAGTCTCTCACAGAACCTCATCAAGTACTCATGGAACCCTAGGGTTCCAAGGAACATAGTTGAAAAAATGCTGGTCTAGAATTTCTAAGAAACCAGAGGCAATTATTGACAATAGCAATAGCGCTTACACTTATATACCACTTCAGAGTGCTTTATAGCCATGTCTAAGTGGTTTACGGAGTCAGCATATTACCCCCAACAATCTGGGTCCTCATTTTACTCACCTCAGAAGGATGGAAGGCTGAGTCAACCTTGAGCCGGTGAGATTGCCAAACAGCTGGCAGTCGGCAGTCAGCAGAATTAGCCTGTAATGCTGCATTCTAACATGCAAAATCATACCATAGCAACTTCCAACCTGGCACCTTCCAGATTTATTGGGATGTCTACTCCCAGAAGTCCCCAAATCGCTCCTTAAAAAATTGGATTGCCAGCATTTGTACAAAACTTATGATGACTGTCTTTTGCTCTGTTAGATGCACGGAGGAAGTGAAGAGTCCAGGTGAAGAAGTCAGCAAAGCGAAAGTCCAGTACAACGTGGAGTTCACATTTGATACAGATGCACGGGTGGCCATAACCATTTATTATCAAGCCACTGAAGAATTTCAGAATGGAGTGGTGAGGTAAATTAAAGGAGAGCTGGGGAAAGGGATCACCTGATTGCTATTGTTGCTCATTGTTAGGAGGAAAAGTGGACAGGGCTGTCTGTTCACGGAACTGCAGATTTGTAACCAAGATATATCCATACAAAATGCTCACATGACCTCTCCTCGTTTATGTCCAGTAAGTTGAGGGTTAGAGTTTCTTTTTTTTTTTTCAACAAAATTTTTATTGGTTTTTATTTAACATGGTGGCAAGGCCATCAATTAATCAAAACAAACTCATACTTATACAATTCAAATTATTTCAATATAATTAATTCAGTTATACATATACATAATCTATTATTATTTTAATGTATCCTACTTCCCCCTTAAATCAATACTATTAACTCTATTTCTATACTCCCTCCCACCCCCATCCCCCCCTAACCCCCCCAGACTTCCCAGAACTGATTACAGGGTTAAACATTCATTTTCCCAAGTCTATATAAAACTACCCAGTATAAACTAATCTAATATAAACATACTTTAACTCATAAAAAGATAATCAAATATAAGCTAGTATAATCTATCTAAATATAACCAATCCATCCTCTCCAGTCCCTTAATCATACAAGAAACTTTGCCATATCTTCAATTTATCAATTATATATAATACATTCCATCACCCCTACAATTATATATAATATATCATCACCCCTACAATTAATGCCATAATCAAATATTTATGATCTTTTAAAATAATAAGAAAAAAGGATATATCAGTTTTATTAGTCTAAACCAGTAGTGGCGAACCTATGGCACGGGTGCCAGAGGCGGCACTCAGAGCCCTCTCTGTGGGCACGCGCGCCGTCGCCCCAGTCCTAGGCCTTCAGCTGGGTTTTATAAAACCTTTTCGCTTTAGGCCTCCGCCGCTGTGTGCAAAAAAAAAAAAAAAAGGTTCAATCAGTCAATTTCAACTTCTTGCGGGAAAAAAAAGATCTTGCAAAGTTGGAATTGATTGATTGAACTTTTTAGTCCCACCCAGTCTGCCGTTACCACCGCAGCCACGCCCACCCAATGGGCCACGCTCAGCCAATGGGCCACACCCACTCGGCACTCGACGATGCATAAGTGGGTTTTGGGTTGCAGTTTGGGCACTCGGTCTCTAAAAGGTTCGCCATCACTGGTCTAAACCATTTTTTCCCTTTAAACAAAACCTTATTTAATTTCATTACAGGATAATAAACAATAATGTATCTCCACTGCTTCCCTTGATATACAATACTATAATTTTCCATGTATAACTATTTCTTTAAAATTACATCCCTAAGTATTAGTTAATCATATCAAAAGTAACATCTCTTAGCCACTAAAATTCAGAAACCCCTTATAATTCCACAATTCCACCGATATACCCCATTTCCTCCTCCATGAATCTTTAAAATTAATCCCTTAAAATCTCAAACAAAAGAACCTGTATAATTTCATAATTTCATTACAAGATACTCTTAAGAAATAAGCAATAATATCCCCCAATTGCTTCCCATGAGATGCAATACTATAATTTTTCATTTCTATAAGTATTTCTTTAAAATTACATCCCAAAGTCACAGCTAAATCCATCACTGCCTCTTCTCTGTATCCTTGTAAAATTTCTTTAGTTATTTCCAATCCAGTTTCTTTAAACAAAACCTTATTTAATTTCATTACAGGATAATAAACAATAATGTATCTCCACTGCTTCCCTTAATATACAATACTATAATTTTCTCCCTTAATATCTCAAACAAAAGAATCTGTATAATTTCATAATTTCATTACAAGATACTCTTAAGAAATAAGCAATAATATCCCCCAACTGCTTCCCATGAGATGCAATACTATAATTTTTCATTTCTATAAGTATTTCTTTAAAATTACATCCCAAAGTCACAGCTAAGTCCATCACTGCCTCTTCTCTGTATCCTTGTAAAATTTCTTTAGTTATTTCCAATCCAGTTTCCGCTTTTGCAGCTATTTCTTCCACTTCTCCCTCCTTCCATAAAGAAAAATCCAGATCTTCCTCTTGAATCATTTCCAGTCCAATTTCCACTTTTACAGGCTCCATTTTTTCCTCCATTCTGACCTCTATGTAATCTGCAGTACCATGCAAAGCAGATATTATATTTCAAAACCTTTTATAAATCTTCAAACGAAGCCATCGATGAGGATAAAGAGGAGATGAATTCAGAATTAGACTGTTGAAAATCTTTAAACAAAGCGGAAGTTCCATTAAACAAAGCCATTTTTCAAGCTTCTTTAATCCAAGCCTCGGAGAAAAAAAAGAGGGGGGAAAAAATCCAAATCCAGAGTTCTCTCCATTAAAAGAAAAAAAATTTTAGTCACCAAAACTTTCCATAAGCCCCCAAAAAATATGTCAATATTACAACCCTAAGCCAAGGGGTAACAATTTCCCTCTTCATTCAGCGCTACAGGAAAGTGAAAGTTAAAAAGGAAAGTCACTCTCATCTATAGAAAAACGGCAAACCGCAGCCATTTTTTTTCCTCATTTCAACTTAACTTTCAAGAAGATGTTAATAAATTGAGTTAAAGTCTTAAGTTGCTCAAGTCCAGTTTCCCCTGGTCAGTTCCGTCCGCTTATTATATACTCACAATTCTCTATAATTCGCAGAAGTGGAGGCAACGACTGGCTTTGTTCCCCCCAAAAAAGGGAACAAAGGCGCTTGGGAGACGGAGATTTCCCGGACTCCGGAGGAGTGCCCAATTTCGCTCTCCCAAAATAAGGGGAGAGCTTTGGGACTCTACTCCTATCCAGGAGTACTCACCTCGACCCCTTCACCCGGGGCACAAGGTTCCAAGCCGCTGAACAGCTGTTGGTCACTGTTCATGCTGGCTCTGACGCCTTCCCAGGCGGACGGCTCCAAAAGAGCCGCCATCGGCGCGCCGTCCCACCGGAAGTGAGGGTTAGAGTTTCTATTGTAGGAATGCAGGTAACTCCACAGCTGATTGCCTCCTAGCATCAAGTTATAGGAAAGGTGGGGATAGAGGGTACCAGATTAAAATTTCATTGGATATAAGGAAAGACTGTACCCTTGTGTTGATAGAGGGCAATTAGCTACTTCAAGCAGCTTCCTCCTAATATGCAATAGAGTTTGATCACACATGTTGGGTCACCGTCTAGGTAGCTTTCCACCAAATTCAGCTCAAGGAGATTGAGGTATGTGAGGTAAGAAGCCTGATCCCATTAACTCCCATTTTGATGTGTAATATTTGAAAAGACTATCTTACATGTAATCACAAATGGTTTTTCTTTTGGCCATATTTATAGGGAGAATCTAGGTTCAGAAATTGTGTTGAATGAATGGAGTTTGAAAAATCGGCAACAGAATGGATTGGCACTATTATCCTCTTAAATGTATGCACTGGCTAAATGCATGGAAGTAGCTTGAACACTCCTTGTCTTTAATCCCTTCGAAGAATATTCTCTTATAGAGTTCGGAGAAGTGAGTTCTCTCAGTAGTCTGCTGATCATTGGGGGGGGGGGGAAGCCTTGCTTTAATATAGCATAAAATTATAGGTGTCAGTGGAATCTGTCACTCTATGAAGCCTAGCACTTCCAATCACAATGATGGCATTATCTTGTAAAGAAATTGCATTTTTCCCAGCACTAAAATACTGCAGAAAATGATATTATTTTTCAAGAGCATTCCTTTGAGAAACACATTTTAACTCATGACAGGTAACTGCACATTAGGTAAAATTAATCCATGTGCCAAGAACCAGACTACAGAAGGTTTAAAAATTTCCCAATATGTTTTGGATATATGGTATAGAGTAAAGCAGTTCTATAATATCTTAAATCAACAATTATATATAAAAAAATAAAATTAACTTTACCTAATCTGAGTGGCAAGTGTGCATTTACTTCTGTGTATCTGTGCACATACATATACGTACATGTAATATGCACACCACATATATCATAAAGAAAAATGAAAATAATTTCAGAAGGAAAATAATATTTTTAAGGAAACTTATCCTCCCAAAAACTCAGATACTGAAAATTACAATGTGAAAAATCATTCATTCATTGGCATCCTTCAGTCTCAAGAGACTATGGTATCATGCTCTGGAAAGAGGTCCTAAAGCAGGATCTGGTGTGGCTAAAAAGGCCAATTCAGGAGTGGCAGTCCCTTCCACACTGAGGGCAGATACAATCTGTTCCCTGTCCAGCCCCCAGATTTCGCTGGTTCCGGGACTGCCTCTTTGCCTCAGCCTGCCGCACGAGTGTCTCTTCGAATTGGAGAAGGCCATCCTGCGTCTTTAGCCTCCAGGCTGAACGATCAGAGGTCAAGGATTCCCAGCTGTTAATTTCCATTCCCAAGGCCTTCAGATCCCTCTTGCAGATATCCTTATATCGCAGCTCAGGTCTCCCTCTGGGGCACTTTCCCTGCAGTTCTCCATACAGGAGATCTTTTGGAATCCGACCATCAGCCATTCTCACGACATGCCCAAGCCAGCGTAGACATCGCTGTTTCAATAATGTATACATGCTAGAAATTCCAGCACATTCCAGGACTGCGCTATTTGGGACTTTGTCATGCCAGGTGATGCCGAGAATACGTCGGAGACAGCGCATATGAAAGGTGTTCAACTTTCTCTCCTGCCATACGTAAAGGGTCTATAGACCTGGATCTTTGTATGTTCTGCAACTTCTTATTAAGCCATACTCTCTTTGTAAGTCTAGAAAATGTGGTGGCCGCTTTACCAATACGTCTATTCAGCTCAGTATCTAAAGAGAGAGTGTCGGAGATAGTTGAGCTGAGGTACACAAAGTCATGGACAACCTCCAGTTCTTGTGCAGAGATTGTAATACAGGGAGGTGAATCCAAGGCCTGACCCATGACTTGTGTTTTTTTTTTCAATGTGAAAAATAAAGGCAGTGATAATATATAAAATCCAGTGTATAGTAACCAAAACATTCTACCACTGGTAAGTTAAGTCAGTTTATCTCTCTTTTTTTGTTCTATACTGTGTTTTTCTGTGTTGTTACTTGTTACTTTTACTATAATTAAGGGCTTTAGCAAGGGACTTAGTACCACCCTCCCTGGATCTTTGATAGGTAACTGGACACAAAATTCACACAATGACTCACTTGGACAGCTAAGATGAGTACATGGAGAAAGGGGAGACAAGTATCAGGCTCAGAAATAGAAAAGATTATACAGCTGAAGGAACAACTGCAAATACCCTAGTTATTGCTTATTGTCTATCTCTTTGGAATGTTTGAATGTTGGAGAAGAAATCAGCTAAGGCCCAGTGTTTCTCAACCTTGACAATTTTAAGGCATGTGGACTTCACCTCCCAGAATTCCACAGCCAGCATTGCTGGCTGTGGAATTCTGGAAGTTGAAGTCCACATGCCTTAAAATTGTCAAGGTTGAGAAACACTGAGCTAAGCAGAGGTTAATGACCCCATTTGAAAAGATGATCTCCAAGGTTCTTGCAACAAATATGTGCCTGAATTGTAGCTTCATGCTTTCCTGACTTGTGGCATGGCAGAATTTAGCCTAGAATGGCTTTTGAGGGGCATATGCACCGTGAATTGGTTTGTGATATATCACTGCAGATTCTAAAAACAGTACTATTGTGGAAGTGTTCATGAAAGCCAGCTTAAACTGAAATATGCTGATGTTAACAAAGATGCAAATAAGGGCCTCCTAATCAATCAGCATAGCTGGAAACGAATGAATGCTGCAGGTTGGGTGGCTCTGAAAATAGGACCTCTGATTTCTATTTTTCATTTGAGAAATTGATATTCCAGTAAACATGATAGTAGCAGGGGGAGTAACACAAAAATGAAAATGTAATATGATATCATGCCTGAAAGAAGAGCTCTTTTCTGGGTGATATCTGCATTAATTATATTGGTTTATGAGAACCAGTTCGGTGGAGTGGTTAAAAGTGCTGGTTAGAAATTATAAGACTGTGAGTTCTAGTCTCATTTTAGGCCCAGAAGACAGCTCGGTGACTTTGGGCCAGTCATTCTCTCTCAGCACTACCAAGAAAGAATTGGCAAGCCATTTTTGAAAAATGTTGCTAAGAAAATTCCAGAGGCTTGTTTTTGTAACCACCAAAAATCAAGATTAACTCTAAGGACAGTACTTGCTTAGGAGTGAATTTTTTCCACATCTTTCAGGGGCTTAGGGATTCTTTAGAGCAGCATTGCAATTACAACGATAAAACAACTGTATCAATAAATATATATTACAGCAAGCAGAAATGATGTATAAGTTTATTGCTAAAGCAAGAAAAACTTTGAGTCAGTCAGAAGGTGGCTTTAAAAGCTGCCTGAAGATGATGTTCCATATCTTGGAAGATTCCCTACTAGGTTGGGAAGATAAGACCATAGTGTGGGGTTGTTTATTCTGGGTTATCCATTTTCTTCTTACAGTTATATCCCCAAGGAGAGCAGTTTACACTCTGAGACTGTACATTATAAGCGAGGTGTAAGCCAGCAGTTCTGTTTGCCTTCTCATTGTATTGATCCTTCAGAATGGACTGAAGAAGAGGTAAGGACTTACTTATTGTTTAATTGTTACTTATTGTTTAATTATAAAAATCAATAAATTTTTTATTAAAAAAAAAAAAAAGAAGAGGTAAGGAAGAAGCATGCCTCAAAGAAACAGAAATTCCTTTTTTGAGCAATTATCCTATTAGATTCATATTTCATCAGGGCCTGTGCATGCTGCACATAATAGAGATCTTATCTGGGAACAGAATATTAATATACTATATTGCACTAATAGAGTAATGCATGTATGTTTGTCTTTTTAAAAAGCAGAGTGTTTCCAGACATTTCTTTCTAAATGAGGATTTCCTGGGTGCCTGCATTTATAGTATTGCATACCTCTGGTAATGCTTGCCGGGCACACAAGTGGATTACTATAATTCTACTGATGTTACCAGTATTTTACTCTAAGATTGCTTGCCTTTTTACCTCAGGCCTTTTATTCTTTGCAGCTGAGCTTTGATCTGGACCGTGAAATTTATCCCATGGTGGTTCTTGCAGTGGTAGATGAGGGAGATGGTAAGGATGCTCTTATGGTTCACATTCATGCTTTATTTATTTGTTTATTCTATTCAGTATATAGTTTACTTTTCTGTTCAAAGAAATGGTGACAAGCAGTTGTTTTTTTTTAAAGTTTTAAATTAAAATTGAAAATGTAATCCTTGAGCTAAAGCCTGATAAAGAAGATACATCTTTACACACTGTCTTAATTTTGAGAGATATTGGAAAGGGATGCATTTCCTATGGATGTATTTCATTGCCTGGGAGCATGGATAAAAAAAGCCAAAGAATGCAGTCTTTTATCCCAGAACTTTCTGCCCATTCCTCGTGTTCTGGAGGTGCTCCATCTATCTGTTGTAACATATAGGATCTCTTCTGCAATCCCTGGAATGAGTCAGAAGATTTTGGGGTAGAAGATTTTGTACCACTAGAGTACATCCTCCACCCCCGTATGCCAGATAGATGGTCTTCTCTTGAGGGTCTTAATGACGAGAGAATCATTTTGGATTTTTAAATTTATCACAACTTGTGATAGTTGCATTTGATAGGAAACTTATCACAACTTGTGATAGTTGCATTTGATAGGAAATTGATATTCAATGGAATTTTTAAAGTATAGGCATGGTAGGATTTCTGTATTTTCTGCAGGCTAGCAGTTTAGCTCTTGCACTTTCATCAATTGCACATTTAGGCATTTTTTAAAGAAAGCCCCCACGCACAGTAGATTGCAATCATCAGAATAGGAGTCAGTCAAAGCATGTAATAGCATTGCTGAATCTCTGGATTAAGAAGGATTGTGCTAGCACACTAAACTTGGCTGTGCAAATGTGCTCCCTGCCATAGACATCACCCACAAGTCCAATAAAGATCAAGAAGTTCTCCCAAACTGTGAACCTACTCTATCAGAGGGCTTGTATTCCTATCCAAAATAGGGTGTATCGCAATTCCTTAGTCAGTTTTAACCTTTACCAATATTGTCTGGATTTAATCTTAGGATGTTTTCCTTCACTAGCCTATTACTGAACTGAACCGGCTACCAATTGCTTACTTGGAGTTTGCTGGAAGGAGCAATAGAACTAAGTTGTCAAATTATTAAATTTATTAAACTTATATGCTGTCCCTCCCACTGGTAAAATGGCTAAGCGTGCTAATGAGATCCATTTGTAGAGCTGCAGATGACGTCCTCCAGTGGTTTCATGTAGTTGTTGAATAGGATGGGCTCAAAATTGGATCCTGTAAGATGCTGCCATCCTATCAATCAAAGTACAAGGCAATAGACCCTCAGCATCACTTTCTAGACATGGGCCCACAAGGACTGGAACTGCTATAGAGCCCAATCTTCTCTGAAAGTTCAGAAGAATACCATGGTCAATGTATCAAAAATTGGTTACAGATCCAGGAGAATTAATGTGATTACTCTTCTTAGCCAGTTTCAAGTACAGTATAGGCCTTTCATTATGGTGAGCAAAGCAATCTCATTTCCACACTGAAAGCTAAATTGGAATGGGTGCAAATAATCAGCATCCTTCAGATGGCGATCGCATTGTGATAGGAAGCTGAATTGACATGTCTTGCAAGTTGCCGCTATACACTCTAAAAATTAAATTAAATTGATTCTGTGTCCTGTTGAATATCATTAGTAACTGAAACTCTTAGAAAGGCATCTGTAATGAATCATATATGTATATTCTGCAAAATTACGTATCATCCTGAACCTCAATTTTGATCTTGTCTTGCAGAGCATATGGGTCACTGCCATGTATTGCTGGCAACTTTTGAGAAGGTAAACATTGCGTTCTTGCTGATCCATGTGCAACATGCATGAACCCAAACTCCCATGTTGAATGTATGCAGGTTGAACTAATGTAATAAATAAATAAAATATATAGTTACAAAGTTAAAAATACATAACAGAGAAGAGGAATATAGCAAAACTACAGCAGTCTTTTTTGAGCAGTGGAGTTACGTAGAATAATGCTGGGTAAGTAAAAATGGTCTGAGTTAAAAGGAGAGTGATTGTTAAATTTCTGAAGCATAAAACAGGCATGACATGAATAGGATACATTTTCTTTGTTCTGTGTGTGGAGTACAGTTGTGTTTTAGGGAGTGAGTTCTGTTTCATCACACCTATCCTCTAGAATTTCTTTTGATGGACTGTGACGTTGAAGAGTCCACCTGAACATTTGTATTTCTTCCTCTCAGCATGCGGATGGCGGCTTTTGTGTGAAACCTCTCAAACAAAAGCAAGTGGTGAGTGTGCGGCTGGGGGGGATCAGGTTCTCTGCTTTTCCGCACATACTAGTTCCTGTTACTTTTTAGGAAAAGCTGATTGCTCAATGCCAAGGAATTTGATGGCCATCCAGCCCTTTTCCAACAGTACTTGTTGCAAAGAGCTTTTAACCAACCAGTGGATAAAAAGAAAGGTGGTCACCCATTCACTGCAAGGATGAAGTCATTGTCCTCGTATTATGGAAAAATGCCTGTTCATGCCTGTAGATAATGCGGGTTTTTTCACTAGAAAAAAATAAAACGGAAAGAAGAAAGTTGTTTCTGCAGTCTTTATTTCTGGAGTTTCATATTCCCTTTTGATCCCTACTTTCCCATGTAATTTCAGTGTTGGTGCTTTTTTTAGGTGGATGGAGTGAGCTATCTCCTTCAGGAAATTTATGGGATAGAAAACAAATATAACATACAGGATTCAAAGGTGAGAACTAAAGCTAATGGTGGAGAATAATGTACATATTGTACACAGTCTCAACCAGATTGTCTGGACATTTCTATGTTAAAAACTTCCTTCCTTCCTTCCTTCCTTCCTTCCTTCCTTCCTTCCTTCCTTCCTTCCTTCCTTCCTTCCTTCCTTCCTTCCTTCCTTCTTTGAATTCACTATGGACACATGTTTGCAAAGAGTTGCAAACCAGCAAGCTTTTCTAATCCAGGTGGCAGAGGATGAGGTGAGCGACAATAGTGCAGAGTGCGTAGTCTGCCTCTCCGATGTCCGAGACACCTTGATCTTACCTTGCCGCCATCTCTGTCTCTGCAACACTTGTGCTGACACCTTGCGCTATCAAGCTAACAATTGTCCCATCTGCAGATTGCGTAAGTCCTGATTTTTTTTGTAAAAAAAATTGAGATTGGGTCCTCTCTGGAAGATCACATGCTTAACTTGTTTGATCCTCTCACTTTGAGAAATGAATAAACGCCTGTACCCAAGATAGGCTAAGATTATTTAATTTTTAACAATCAACTATCAGAGGAGAAAGGATAGTAGAGCCAACTGTGATCGTATTTTATTTGTATTTTGGTGGTCACAGTCACCTATTACCTGGTTGGTTTTTAGAGTTATTTCTAGCAGAATTTGAAATTTATTTCCTCCTCTGTCCCTCTCTTCCTCATAGCATTTCGGGCCTTGCTACAGATCAGAGCCATGAGAAAAAAAATGGGACCTCTCTCCCCCACCAACTTCAACCCTATCATTGCATCCCAGACATCAGATTCGGAGGAACACTCAGTGAGTATTGGTGGATTGATTGTTCAGATGCTGATCTTACTGTGTCTAGGCTGAGATGGTATTCTGAATAGGATGGGATGGGATGGGATGGGATAGGATAGGAGCTGGAAGGGATCTTGGAGGTCTTCTAGTCCAGCCCCCTGCTCAAGCAGAAGAACCTATGCCATTTCATATAAGTGACTGTCCAGTGTCTTCTTAAAAACCTCCAGTGATGGAGGGTCCACGATTTCCGAAGGCAAGCTGTTCCACTGGTTAATTGTCCTGACTGTTAGGAAGATTCTCCTTAATTCCAGGTCGCTTCTCTCTTTGGTCAGTTTCCATCCATTGTTTCTTGTCCTGCTCTCTGGTGCTTTGGAAACTAACTTGAACCCCCTCTTCTTTATGGCAGCCCCTCAAATACTGGAATACTGCTATCATGTCGTCCCTGTTTCTTCTTTTCTTTAAACTAGCCAAGCCCAGATCCGGCAGCTATTCTTCATATGTTTTAGTCTTCAGACCTTTGATCATCTTAATTGCTCTTCTCTTACTCTTCTGGGCTATTCATTCTTTTTGAGAGAAGAGTTGAGCATCACGAGGCTTTCTTTTCACTCCCAACTTTCCTGTAAGGGAGTAATTCAGAAAGAAATGCCACTGACAATGAAGTGGTAATGAAATTAGAGTTGGGAATGGCAAGCCTAGATCTTATCTAAATCCACTGACAAACTCTGGAAGACATGTAAGAGCCAATTCAAGCAGTATTTATTTGGTCCTGCTTGTGTTTGAAAAGAAGGACCATATTTGAATGGACTTTTCTGTATTTCCAATCCATGTCCATTGCATATGAAAAGTGCGGGAAAAAACAGACTTGGATATCTTCATTGATGATAGCAATGTTCCAATATCTCAGGGGTTGCCACAAAGAAGAGGAAGTCAAGCTATTCTCCAAAGCACCTGAAGGCAGGACAAGAAGCAACGGATGGAAACTAATCAAGGAGGGAAGCAACCTAGAACTAAGGAGAAACTTCCTGATAGTTAGAACAATTAACCAGTGGAACAACCTGCCTGCAGAAGCTGTGAATGCTCCAACCCTGGAAGTTTTTAAGAAGAGACTGGACAGCCATTTGTCTGAAATGGTATAGGATTTCCTGCCTGAGTAGGGGGTTGGACTAGAAGACCTCCAAGGTCCCTTCCAACATCGTCATCATCATCATCATCGTTGTTGTTGTTGTTGTTGCTGTTGTTACTACTACTATTACTATTACTATGAAAAAGAACCAATTGCACAATTATGCTATCTTATCAAATTAATTATACCAAAGCGAGAGAGAGACGATGCAGTGGTAGTAATTTTCAGAGGTATAGTAATTTTCACAACCACAGATGAAAAAAAATATGTACTGTGTTTGAACATTTAAATGTACAAGGGTCAAAGAAGAAAGAAGCAAAAAAAAATCCTCATTGGGATTTTTAAAAACAGTGAAAAGGCAAAATATATTTTCTAAAAATAAATATGAAAAATTACCATCTTTCTGCCAGGTTTCCCAAGCAGAAACAGGCAAATAAACATGATGTGCCAGAAGCTGGAAACCAGGAGCTAGAGAGCTTACTGGCATCTTGGCAAACAAGATGATTAAAGCAGTTGCTAGTGCCATATTTTAATGTGCAGCCACACTTAAACACAGATCTAGTATGTTATGGGAGAAACAGAATATCTCAGTAACTAAATTGCTGTATTCAAAGCCTGTAAGGCATTTTGAACTATTGTGCTTCAGCCTGCAGATGGAAGACCTTATTGTTCAATGATCCTCCTTATTTATTGATTTATCTTTAAACAAATGTGTACTTAGAAAGCTTAATGGTAAGAAAGACAATTTTAACCTAGACTTTTTCAATCTACTTTTTGGAGAATTTATAGAACATTTTTCCTCTCATTTCTACAGAAGTGGCATGTGTCATCTGTAGAAATATGAGTCCAGAATTTCTCTGCAGAAGGAGTGAGCTAAGTCTATTTGTATGATGAAAATACAGAAGAGTGTAACCACAAAAGTCTTTTCCAGTTATGTCCAGAAAGACTCGCTCTTCGTGTGCATGTCGTGTGCAATTACTTGGCTTAGAATAAAAAGTTCAACTTAAGCAATGGTTAATTAATTATTACATGCCATGACTAAGGCATAGCCTAAAACAAAACAGTGAAAAAGGTAATAATTGCAAATCAATTCAGGAAAGCTAGCTCAGGCCCCAGTAACCAGTAATAACACTACCTTAAACAAACTCTTGGGATAGAGGTGTGTGTGTGTATTCCAGATATTAATACAGAACTCTCAGCTAAAAAAAAGAATGTGGAAAAACTGAAGTATGTAGTAATCCAGTTATGCAAAACAAAGGTTTTTAACCTCCCTTTAAGAGCAATCCAATTTCCACAAAGTTGAAGACAACTCCGTTCTAGAGTTGCAAGGCCACTCTTCCATCAAGGGATCCTGGTCTCTCTTTCTGTTTTGTGTGTTCGTTGACAGTTGTTGGAGGTTTCTGTTCCGTCTTGAGCTTCCTGGTAAAATAGTTCCTGCTGTTTAAGAATAACCTCTCTTTTTCATACCTTTCTCTGTTCTTCCAGTCTTCAGAAAATATCCCCCCTGGCTATGAGGTGGTCTCTTTGCTGGAAGCCCTTAATGGGCCTCTCACTCCATCCCCAGCAGCCCTTCCAGTCCGTGTGCTTGGGGACAACCATGTGTCAGGCATGCTACCCACATATGGCAGTGACAGCCACTTGCCTCCCATCCAGACGCTGCCTTCCCTTGAACGCTTATCAGATTGTGGCAATCAAGGACATAAATTAAAGAAGAGCCTGTCCAAGTAAGTGACCTCCTGCCATCTCCCTCTTGCTTGCACATCAGTAGATGGGCTGCAGGCAGTAAATCCTTATGGATGATATCCTGTTCCTTAAGTCTAGTGCCTCTAATACAATCCTTTGGTCAGCAATCTTTTCAGATTCAGATGATTTTGCTTGATGTCATTCAGACAATTATTTAATTTTTACTGCAATTAAAAAATGGCCAGGTCCTCCTAAGACAGTGGTTCTCAACCTTTTTAATGCCGCGACCCCAACCGGTCGTAAGTCGAGGACTAAACTGGTCGTAAGTCGAGGACTAAACCAGTCGTAAGTCAAAGACTACCCAACCGGTCGTAAGTCGAGGACTTTCCCTGCCCGGGAGCGCCGTGCATGCGTGGTTCCGCCCCCTGCGCTGGCCGAGGCGTAGCTGGCAAGCGGCAGAGACGGAGCAGGCCGACCACCAGCTGGCTCAGCTCAAGGAGGTAAGGCACCTGCCGGAAAAGGGGAAAAAAATGGCGGACAGCCTTGCTTGGCGACCCCCGTGAAATGGTTGATCGACCCCAAACGGGGTCGCGACCCATAGGTTGAGAACCGCTGTCCTAAGAGAACATAAGTCACATGAATTTCTAGGCATTTCAATTTTCTTAAAGAAGTAATAATTTAAAAAATGGTGAGGACCCATGAACTTCATTGAGTATTGTCATAGGTGCAATTATTATTCACAGGTACCTGTGAACGCTGTGTCGATCACCAGCTTTCTTAATGTATCTAGTTAGCCCTCAATGGCCACTGGAGTATTCTGTAGCATTTTTGGAGATCCCCATTCCCTCATTCTAATTTGTGTGTTTTCTACAAAGGAGTCAATTTTAGATTGTTTGTTTTCACCAGGTCAATCTCACACAATTCCTCGGTATTACATGAAGAAGAGGATAAGGCTTGTAGTGAATCTGAAGTCAGGATTTCCCGAAGGAAATCTCCCTGTCCTCATGGAGAGGTGATTGTTTTCAAATTCCTGTTTTGTTTTTTAATATTACATGACTGCTGCTCACGTTTTTTCCTCCTGCAGACATACGGTATAGAAGACACATTAGGAAAACAAATATTTTGCCATTTGCATATATAGCAGTTAAATCCATCAGCATTTGCTGGCATGTTAGTGAATTTAGATTTGGAAAAGAATCAGAGGTGTTTGCAAATATCTACCTTGAAAGAGAACTGAACTTTACAAGCTCTGGTATTCCTCTCACCTCAGCTTAAAATTGCTTTGCCAGTTAGCTGAATATAATCGTTGGCAGTTAGGGGTATTGAGGATTTGCTATCTGAAAGTGATAGGACTTTGGTTACCCAAAGTCTCTGTACCCACAGGCAGTATCACACAACACGCCTCTTAAAATGGTCTACTCTAATGAAATGGAATTGGGTTAGAGTGTGTGACATTTTATAAGACCGATCTCGAAAAGGCTACATTTACCAGTGCTTGAGTTGGTTTGGGAAAATGAATCAAGATCTTCCAAATTTTCTTCTTATTCTCACATGTTTCTTAATTTAAAGCTATCTTGGGGAAATCAACCATTTTCCCCTAGTCTTTATGCCCTTCACAATTCTCAGGAATGGCCATGTTGGCTGGCTAGTTCTAGAAGAGAAAACCATATATAATGAAGGTGCCCTAGTTGCATAAGCTAATCCATTGGTCAGACTGAGTGGCTGAGTCAGATCCAGTTTCTAATTGTTGCTTCATAATAGTTTTTTCATTATAGATTATGGTTTCCCTATTTTTCAGGATTGTGGTGTGACACCTGAGAGTGAAAATCTCACTTTATCCTCCTCAGGAGCAATAGATCCCTCTTCATGCACAGGAACACCTCTTTCTTCTACCATTTCTTCTCCAGAAGGTATAGTAGAAAATGAATTTCTAATCACTTTTCTGCCCTCCAGCTTAATGTAAGTTGAATTCTTGTGCCTTTGACTCACTAGTCCTTGCAGTTTTCTTGACAAGATTTTTAGAAAAAAACAGCTAAAGGACCTGACTTACACCCACTCTTTAACCTAGTTCCAAATAAATGACTTTGCATATGTGCTGCCTATATGTCCTATACTCCAGGATATTACGTTCATTAACTAATGAAAAGCTAAGCTATTGCATTTGTGAACAGGTTTGCTGGTTTATAGATTCATCGCTTAATCTGTAAGTTTTGAGCTGGAGAAACTTTTTTATGAACTGTGCAAAGACAATTTAGCAGAAGCTAGAGATAATATTTGATCTTATTGACTATATTCTGAGCCCAGCAGCGCAAGAAATGTAATTGTTCAGAGTAAAACCACCACTGAAACCTGGGCACTTAGAAATACTTTTGGTTGATTGGCTTGTTATTAAAGTTCATCCCACCACTCCAGCAAATGATGCTCGAGATTGCATATAGTGAAATGCAAATACTACTGTAGCAGTGGTCGGACGCAAGGGTGGCTCTCCTAACATCTCTCTCTAACTATGCCTTGTCTGCCACCTCCCTTCTTCCCTTAGATCCTGTTAGTAGCAGTCTGGCTCAGTCAGTCATGTCTATGGCTTCCTCCCAAAGCCAGCACTCCGAAATCAGCACAGATACCATGTCTTCCATGTCAGGTTCCTACGTAGCCCCCGGCACTGAAGAAGAGGGAGACATGGCTGCATCCCCTGCTGTTATCAGTGAGGTACCTTCAGAAGGAGATGTAAGTAGATCAAACTCCAGACCAATCAAGGGGCAAGCATCAGCAGAAGCAGGGAGATGATGAGAAAAGTAGCTCCTGATTTGATGCAAGCAAACTTATTCAGGCAAATTACTTCATATAAGGCTTGTCACTTAAAAAAAAAACCCCACATAGTGGTTAAAAAAAAAATAATAGTCTGGTACATGTTTTGAATGGAGCTTGACTGGACACATCTAACATTCAAGACAGTTGCCAAAAAAGTGTCTGTAGCCACTATGACATTGTCCTGGGAACATCAGAAACTGATTTCTGGAAAATCTTCTCTGTATCTTTTCAAATGCCTCCTTTTTATTCAGGGGAGGACGTAAAGAAGCAAATTAGCATTTCAGAAAGACAAACAATGTTTGGTTATGTTTGGGTTAATACTACTGATGTGATTTGGCAGATGATATTTTGTCCTTATAGGATACTTACCCATCAACTTTTTTCAGTTTTCTCTTCTCTTTTCTTAGTCAACCCCTGTTGAGTCTCCCGATGAAAATTTTGTCAGTATCTCAGCAGAGGAGCGAGATGCAGAGGTAAAGTTTTGAATCAGAAATCTTGTTTAACATATGGGACCCCAGGAAAGGGAGCTCTGGCTCTGAGCCATAGTTTTTATTTGTATGCAAAATCTTTTTTTAACAAAGTACTACAAGACAAAACACAAAGCAAGTGAAAAGCACAGGGCAAAGTAAAAGAGTAAAGCCCAAAAATGTAGATTAGATGTCTAGGAATCATTCTTAGGACCAGGAACCAGAGGTCTAATGGTATTCCAGGTTAAAGCAATGAGGAGTTGATATAAGAAATGGGAGTCATTCACAGAACAACAAGAAGCAGGAAATACTCTGGATCAATAAAAGAGCAGTTTGGCCTGACTCAGCCATTCTCAATTTCATTCCACCAAAAATGTTATGGCTACAGTTCTGAGAATTCCCAAGTAGCAAGTCCATTATTCATACTGATTTTAAATTCTGGAAGTAGTCATCTAAGTTCCTTTGGAAGAAGTACATAGCATCCCTCCAGAGATCCAGATGGCCCCTGCTAGCTTTTTGTTAGGCACTAAAGACTTGGCTCTTCCCCCAAGCATTTGGGCTGGGAAGTTGTGAACTCTGCTGGCTGATTAGTTACAATTGTTCTGGGAAATGATTTTTACGATCTTGGACATTTGGATTGTTGAAGTAAATTTTTTGTTTTT